TTTTAGAGCGGGGAGCGGCGCTGCCCGGCCTGGCACGGCCGGGACCGGGGCGTGCGGATGCCGCTTCACGCTCCTTCTCGCCCCGCTCAGCCCCCCGCAAGCCCGCAGCCAGCCTGGCCGGGGAGCACAGGCAGCCGGAATGCGGTCACGCTACAGACTTGTCCCGCCTGGGGACCGTCCCTCCGGTGCCCCGACCCCCGCCGGGGCTGGCCGGGGGCTCTGTGCCGGGCAGGTGCCTGGTATCGGAGGAGTTTCACCTGCTTTGTGTAATCCCCAGGGCGCTGCCTGCCGGCGGAAGGAGCGGGCAGGGTTCAGCTCAGACAGGGGTCACCCAAGGAAAAGGTTGGCTCACATCTTCTGCTGCAGTTCAGATCAATCAGCTGCATCTGCACCAGTTCCCTTTCCCCCTCCTTTCCCCCCCGGGAGCGGGGCGAAGCGGATGTTGTTGCGGACACATTGCAGCTGTACCCAGATCTGGGGCAAGGGAGGCTTTGAGAAACCTCTTGCTCCACAGGGCTTGCCTGGCTGTCCCGGGCCGCCCGCTTTGAACCCGGCGTGCAGCTGCACGGGGCCGGCATTCCCCTTTGGAAAAGTCCTGGGGTGGTCCTGATCCAGGCTCGTTCCGAGCGTGGTGCTCGGATGCTGGTACAGCTAAAAGAGTTGTCACAAAAGCCACTTGCTAACTCCAGAGCAAGAGGAGGAGGTGATGGCAGATGGGAGCTGGAAGGCTTGATGGTTGAGCAGGGAATGTCCCATGAGAGACTAGGGACATAAATCACTGCTGGAGCAACCAGGGCTGCCTGGGATCTGTTCCCACCCTGCTGCTTGTCACCGGAGGGAGAATGAGTTGTTACCCTCCTCCACGTCTTGGTTTCACCTTTCTCCTTTGGGAACAGCTTTGAGATCTGCTGATAAAGTGCTTGATAAGAGTTAGGGAGGCTAAAATGTCTTTGTGTCAAGGTCTAGTCCAAGATCCTGATCCAAGGGTTGTTGCAAGCGGCATTTCATTCCTTGGTGGTGGAAGTGGCGCTCAGGCTGCCCGTGGTCGAGGTGAGGCTGTTTTCAAGCTGACCTGGACAAGAAGGACCATTAATCTAGCAGGCTCTCTCCTTTCCTTTCTAAATATAGCAGAAGAATGGCATCTCGCCTTACCCAGGTGCGGTTGGGTCACTGTCGCACGAGGAACCGTGCAGTTGGCTGCAGCCCTGCTCCAAGTCCATCCTCTTTGTCCTGCTCATTGACGGGCTCCTTCCAGCTTCCCTGGGGGGTGCTTGGGATGGAGCCCCAGAGCCACGGGTCAGGCAGCGGCAGGTGCTGCACGAACCTCTGTACGGTTACGTGCGGAAGGGTGGCCAGGAGATAGGTGATGGAGGTCGGTGCAGCTGCTGCCCAGATTCTTTATAATAAATCCTTTTACGCTTTGTTCAGGCAGCAGAAATGTCTGTTTCACATCATAGCATATTGTTGCTTATGTTGTCCTCGGCTGGGTTTCCCGCACGTGTCCACCCACAAGGCTCTCCACCAGCGCGTCACCCAGATTTATTACCCGTGCCCATTTTAACATAAAAACCTCATAAGCCCGTGCCCGTTGTTCCTCGCCATGGACTGTTGCTCCGCGGTGCCTTGGACCTCCCCGCTTGCTGTTCACCTCACTTGGGTACTTGTTGGGGAACCCTCTCTGGGATGCTGGTAATAAAAGCCTCGTGATCATCTCTGAACGTACTGTGTTTGTGTATCCAACACTGCTTGGCTCTGGTGAGGTGTCACCACCTGGATCTGGCACCTTCAGGCAGACAGACGCTCATCCCATCCCAGCAATCCAAGCCACTGCTCCTGGGTGGCTGCAGCCCTCAGCTGTAGCCCTGGCCCCAACAGCATTTTTTTCTGAGTCTTTTCTATGCCTTATGCTGCAATCGGTGGTTTCCCAGCCACAGGAGCATCCCTGGGGCTGGTCTGTCTTGCTGGCTGGGCTTGCCCAGCCCACAGCTAGAGGGGGGCAGGACATGAGCCACCCACAAGGGCAGGACCAGGCTGTGCCGTGTGGATGTGCCTGCACCTGTAGATAACTTCCTTGGGATTGGGGATAGGTGTCCCCAGTGCCTGCTTCTTGCCCTCACAGAGGCAGGGATGGCTGCAGGCTGTCTCCAGACACACCTGGCCTTCTGCCTGTGGTTTTTACCCACCTCTCGCCTTACCCAGCTGCTGTGCAGGTGAAGTTAGAGACAGTTTTTAACAGATGTGTCAGCAGATGTCCCCGAGGGCAGGGACGGCTGGGCAGACAGCTGTAATGTATGCTGGTCTCTCCTTCCCAGGATAATCACAAGCTGTACAAGCAGAAACTCGAGGAGCTAACCAAGCTCCAGGATGGGATCTCCAGCTCCATCGCACGGCAGAAGAAGCAGCTGAAGGAGCTGTCATTATCCCTCAAAAAGTAAGTTGTTGTCCTGTAACAGCACAGGACGGGAGGGGAGAGCAGCAAGGATGGGGCTACTGGAGTTGTCTCATGTCTCTGTATCCAGCACAGACCTTACTGGAGCCTCACTGATAGCAAAGTGCCGTGGAGGTCTGGACTCACCCAGGCAGATCTTCCGCGGCTTCCCTTTCCTCTGCTCTCATTTGTGCCTTGTTTGCAGTTCAGAGCTTGCAAGGGCTTTGCAGGTAACTTGAACCATCCTGCACAAAGCTCTCTCCATCCTTCCTCAAGGGTGAGAAGACATGTCTGGCCCCACCTCACTCTCATTTCTGCTTCCTTTTCTCAAGTGACATCCCAGCCTCACAGAGGAGCTGGCCCTGCAGATGAAGTCATGGACTTGCCCCCAGTCCATCTTCCCTGTCCTTGGGGTGTCCTTGCCTAAGACAGTCACATATCGAGTGCCGGCACATGCTGACTGTGTTACAGAGGCCATCCTGATGCCAGTGCCTGTGTTTCCTCCCCAGATGCAAAGCCGACGCGAGTCCTGAACAGGAGGAGTCCATCCAAGAGACCCAGAGCCTAATAAAAGAGAGGCAAAATGTTTTCTTCGAGATGGAGGCCTATCTGCCAAAGAAGAACGGGTAGGAGGCACCTCATCTCAGGGTGAAACACCGAGTCCTCCCTCCACGTCCCCTGTAACACTGCAAGACAAACCTGCTGTCACCCTGCTCCCAGCAGTGTCACAGCCATGCTGTTCCACTCAGGCTCCCTGGAGGATGCTGGGCTAGAGCCAGGCTGAGCCTCTGCAGTGCTGCCCTCCTCCCCCCTCACTCCTCTGCCTGCTCATGGCCTTCACCCGCCCTTGAACGGCGGCCGTGTGCAGGGGGAACCCCGGAGAACACCCTCAGTGCCCATGGGAGGTGGGGGCGGGCGGTGTGCTTGGCCACCCTTCCCCCTGCCCTTGGGAGGAGAGGCCAGAGTGTTTGTGCCCGTCACGCTGTCTGGCAGCTCCGAGTGGAAAACAGCTGGGGGCTCCTTCCCGGCCCCTCGGCGTCAGCGGTGGCACATGAGGGCACGGCTCTGCCTCCATGGCCACGCTGCCAGCTCCCGGGCAGGCGCCCATCCTAACGCCTCTGCTCTCTCCCCAGGTTGTACCTGAGTCTGGTGCTCGGGAACGTGAACGTCACGCTGCTCAGCAAACAGGCCAAGTATGGCCCTCTCGGAGCTGCTGCCCTGGGCTGTGCCAGGCTTGGGATCCCCTTGTCACCGGGAAACAACAACTCCTCACGGGCTGAGCTGCTGCATGTGCAGACACGAGGCTGGCTTGACCTGCCTGGTGCAGATTCCCTTCCCGGGCTGTTCCCTGCTTCCTTTCCCAGAATTAGCTGAGTCCTTGGCTCCTCCATACACTCCTGCCGCTGGGCTGGGACAGACCATTAGCTCTGGCGAGTTAAATGTGCTCCTCCACTGAAGCCATATCTGGGTTTCCCCCATGTTAGGGACTTCCAGGAGAGATAGACTTGTGCAGCCACTGGCACACCCCCTCCTTGTCCCTTGGGAAACACCAGTGGCCAGTTCTGGCTCATGAGAGCCCTCCCCATGCTGGGACACTAATGCCAGAGGTGCCCAGCCGGAGCCCGTCTCCCCCTCAGCTCCGCAGGGCTCCCTTGAAGAGCTGAGCAGACGCCAATCTGCGCAGCTTCCCAGAGTCCTCTGGGCTGCCTGCCAGGCTGGCATGGTTTGGGGTGTCTTGAAGCTGTCTCACCTGTGTGAAAGCAGCCTGCTGTGCTCTCCTCTCAGAAATACCCAGGGGACAAGGTTTTTCCAGAGCATGTCCCAGAGGTTCCCAATAGAACATCACTTTTGTCCAGCCAGGTGGGATGGGAGGACACAGACTTCCAGCAGCCACCTTGCCCCAAGCCTGTCCTTGTGTTTCCCTGCAGGTTTGCATACAAGGATGAGTATGAGAAGTTCAAGCTCTACCTCACCATCATCTTACTCATTGTCTCCTCCTCCTGTCAGTTCCTTCTCAACTCCAGGTGGGTCTGGCTTGGATGCTCTCCGTAACGGGTTGGGCAGAGATCTCCCAGGGCCCCCATGTTCTCCTCTCCCACCCTGAAAGGTCCAGAGCTGAACGGGAGATCCTGACAAAAGCTCTGGCCACTGCCCTTGAGGTGGGGTGGCTTTTGTGGCTGCAGCTGTCTCACTGTGACCATGGTGGATGGTGGAGAAGCAGGTCCCCCTGCCCGCAGGGTGGGCGGGCATCCTGCAGCAATGGCTCCTGGTGCCCATGCCCTCGATGCCTGGGCAGTGGCTCTGCCGCTGCCTTTACATCGTGCTTTGTTTCCCACCAGGGTGACAGATGCCGTCTTTAACTTCGTCTTGGTGTGGTACTACTGCACCCTCACCATCCGGGAAGGCATCTTGATCAACAACGGATCCAAGTGAGTGCCTAGGGCTCAGGGAGAGGGGCGTGGGGCGAGCTGGGACCCACCGTGTAGCTCTGTGCTTCCCAAGGGAGCAGCTCCCTCCTACTCAGTCTGTGTGGCAAACCCTGGTGGTGAGCAGGGCAGGAGGAACTCCCCGTGCAGAGGCGGTGCGGGAAGGTGGAGCAGTGGGTGGAAGGGCCCCAGCCCCTGGGTGCTGCCTAGAGCAGAGGCGCTGGGTCCTGCTCCGCACGCGGCCATTTTGTAACCAGCCCAGGAGCCGGCGGGCGGCTGGCGCTGAGCTGGCTTCGCTCTCCTGGCCTGTGTTTGGGTCTTGATTTATGCTCCAGATCTGATGTCCCTTCTCTGTGTCTTCCAGAATCAAAGGCTGGTGGGTTTTCCATCACTACATCTCCACCTTCCTCTCAGGTGTCATGCTGACATGGTAAGTCTGTGTCCCCCACATCTCGTGGGGGCCCTACTTGGGCTGTGGCCAGCTGGGGTGAAGGGGCTGCCCTAGCCCGTGGCCGTAAGCCTGCTCTGCGCGTGTAGCGGTCTAACAATCAGCTCCATGTCCTCCTCACCCAGCCCAGGCGCCCTAAACAAAAGCCACCATGGACACCTCTGTGCGACAGGGAACCACGAGGTGTGGTGACATTGTGCCTGAGCTGGGGTGTCCCCCTGCTTTGGTGGGGGCTGGGGCGAGGCAGCAGTGCCCTTACGCTGGCTGTGGGGCAGGTAGGGCTGGCTGCGTCTCCTCTCAGCCCCACGTCCCCCAGCCAGCACCGTCTCTCTGCAGGCCAGACGGGCTCATGTACCAGATGTTCAGGAGCCAGTTCCTCTCCTTCTCCATGTACCAGAGTAAGTGATGCCACATGCTGGGGCACGGGGCTGGGACCAGGACTGGCCTTGGGTGCCAAGCGTGCCTGCCTGGCTCCGTGACACACGGAGACCCAGCTGTAGCGGCTCACAGCTCTCAGCTCACCTGGGTTTTCCCTTGGCCTCTGTCCTGCCCTTCACTGCCCTGGTCCTGGGATGGTCTTTGCATGCAGAGTGGTCTCAGAGCGGATGCTGGGGCCATGGGATGGTGCCTGGGTGACTGCTGACCACATCCACGCTCTCTTGCAGGCTTTGTGCAGTTCCTCCAGTACTACTATCAGAGCGGGTGCCTGTACCGGCTGCGAGCGCTGGGTGAGAGGCACAACATGGACCTGACTGTGGGTAAGACGGGATCTTCCCTTGCTGCTTCTCCCACTCCAGCTGGACCTCCTGTTGCCACAGGACCCACGGCTGCTGGCAGCCTCCCTCCCAGCACCAGACCAGTGCTCGGCTAACTGGGAGCTGTGGTTTCTGTTAAAGGCAACGGTGATGGTTATTTTTCTTTTGAGGTTAGTTTGACTGCAGTTTACAAGTTGCAGAAGCACTAAAAGCTACAAATAAAACCGAAGCTCTGAGAGCAGCATCTCCCATGAGGTGGCAGCATCCCATCGACTGGGTGCCCCCCTATTCCTGTTCTCCTGGGGCCACCAGCCCACAGCTGGCTCCCTCGGGATGTGAGGTGGCAGTGGATGTGGCTCCTGGCATCCGAGCTTTCCTCAGGAAGTCCCTTCAGACACAAAACATCCCTCCAACACCCAACGTACTCATGGGCTTGCCAGCTCCCCGGCCCCTGCAACACCGAGTGCTTGGGCTGAGGGTGGGGGAAGCTCTATCAGAGCAGCCTCCTCCAGAGGCCCACGTTAGGTTAGCGCTGGGAATCCCTGCTGCAGTCCTGCCTGCGGGTTCAAGCGCCCACAGCCAGGCTGTGTTAGCCTAGCAGGACCTTTTCAGCTGGGCATGAGGTGGCCACTAAACCTCCCTGCCCGCAGCCTCAGGAGCTGGGCTCTGTCTAGTCCCCAGCTATAACATGTTCTTGGGTCCCCATGCAAACCTTCATCCTTTGCAGAGGGCTTCCAGTCCTGGATGTGGAGAGGCCTCACGTTCCTGCTTCCTTTCCTCTTCTTTGGGCAGGTGAGTGCACCAATCCTTGTGGGCACCTGCAAGAGGCCAGAGCCCTGGGTGGGAGCGGATTGTGCCCCAGGGCAGCCTGGACATCATACAGGTGCCCTCAGGCTGCAGTACAGATGCCAGGGGCAGGGAAATGCTTTCAGCAAATGCTGAGCCTTTTCCTCCAAAGCACCCACCTCCGTGACTTGGCTAGTGCGATGGAGAGGACCTGGGGGGCTGCTGGTGGTTCTGCTAAGTGATGTGCAGAATACAGCAGAGGTGCTGGCTCTGAGAACCCTTCCAAAACCCTTCTGAGCTTCAGCTCCTGAGCTGCTGCTACAGATCATTTAGGATGGCCAAAAGCAGTAGGCTGGTCTGAGGCTTCTTCCTGGTTATTGGGCTCCAGAAGTTGGCAAGAAAGGGGGAGACGAGTTCTCTGGCCCCGAGCCTTGACGGGGTTTTCCTGCATGTTGGGGCAGGCTGGCCTCATGCGAGGTCTGTGTGGGGTTTGTGCCCAAAGGGAGCGGCTGGATGAGCATCAGCATGGAGTTGATGAGCCTCTGAAAGCAGAAATTCCCCTAAATCTTCTCTCTCCCACAGTTCTGGCAGCTCTACAATGCCATCATCCTCTTCCGCATGATCCAGCACCCGGAATGCAAGGAGTGGCAGGTAAGGGGGTGCTGGGCAGCTGCCCTGGGGAGAGGGATGCCCCAGGAGGTCCCTCCTGCTGACCTGTGCCTCTGTGGGTCCCATAGGTCCTCATGTGTGGCCTCTCCTTCTTCATCCTCTTCCTGGGGAACTTCTTGACCACCGTCCGCGCCGTCCACCAGAAGTTTCAGAACAAGAACAAAGACACGAAGCAGAATTGAAGGGGGGCAGCATGGGGGCCAGGACTGTTTCTCCCCACCTGCTCCGTCTCCCATCCCCACCTCCTCGATGCCGTCCGTACTCTGGTGTCTCACCCCATTCCTTGGAAGCCTGGGTGTGGGACAGAGCTTGGGGCCTGCTCACAAATAGACCGTGTGTTCACTGCAGTGCTGGATCTGTGCCTGAGTCATTCACCTGGAGCCAGCAGCACCCTGCAACTCCTGTCCCATCTGCCTTCCTCCTCCAGGAGAGCAGGGTGTCTGGGACAGCTGCTCCCCTTCCCTCCACCCTTGAAGACATTTACTGGGATGGTTCTCTGGGGTCAAGCCCAGCTCTGCAGGTGTTCCCCACCCCGCTGCGGGCAGCCTGGGGTGCCCGGCTTCCATCATCTCCCATGGGACAAGGCCAGATCCAGGGCTGGCAGTGCCTCTTACACAGCTCCGGGGGTGCTCAAGGCTCTCCCCAGCCCTGCACCCAGGGCAGCCCTTGCGTGTTGAAGGCAGAGAGGCCCTCACATCTCATCGGCTGCAAGCAATTGCTTCCCTGGCTGCCCCAGCAGCCCTCTTTAATTTCAAGGGCAGCTGAAGGCCGTGCTCAAGCGCTGCCTTCCAGGGTGTATTGTACCCCAGTTCCTCCTTTACCTTCAAGCTGCAGGGCCGAGGGACTGAAGTGGAGGAGCTGTGGCACTGGAGGGGTGGGAGCACTACAAGCCTGAACCAGGTTTCACACTGGAGCTGTGCAAGCAGCACCCTGATCCTGCATCTCTGGAGGATGCGTGTGTGAAAAATAAAGGAAAGGTGCTGCCTCGGGTTGCTGGGGTGGTTGTGGAACAGCTTGTGTGCTCTGTTTTTGGCTTGCCTGGTATTGGTTACGTTGTGTTGGGGAGGGAAGAAAACGCACCTCCAGCTGTCCCGACACCAGCTGGGATGTGGAACGGGACAGGAGGGCAGTGCTGCGAGCTGCCAGCTCCCCCCCACCCTGAGCTGTATTATCAGCAATAACCACCAGCAGCGATCGTAAGGGATGTGTCTGGTCATGGCTACATCAACTCAGGAGATGTGGGGACACAGATAAGGCCGTGACTGCCAAGACCTCACTTGAGCAATGTGACCACCCAACCACGGTGCTGCTCAGTGGCCGACTCGAGGTGGCCTGGGCAGAAGCCAACATCTGTAGTCAGTACACAAATGTAACTATGAGTCAGTCACCTTACTCTGTAACACGTGGGCAGCCCAGGCCCGCTGAGCTCTCCTGGAACTCCCTGTGAGTAGGGACACCTCACAGGGTGACTCCTTGAGGTTGAGAGAGTCATTGCCTTAACAGATTCTCAGTAAGTGATTAATAGCATGCTAAAACTCTTAGCTGAGTGATACAAAGGATCGACTGTACATGTATAGTCCTTTAGATATAAAGTACTGACCAAGCCTGGGACTAGGAGTGGGTCCAGCTGCACCCAGACTCCTTTCTGATGAGTTTAGAAAGCAAGGGGGGCCCCTCTGAACCGTGTCACTCACAGGAGGGTCTCCCAGGCAGTTTTGTCTGACCCCATTCTCTATGCAGTAAGTACCAAGTGAACCTTGCCCTTGGATCCTGTTAAACCACTGTCACATTTACTATAGAACTTTGTTAAATCGCTGTTTTATATCAATGAACGTTGCTACTTCTGTGAGGGAAATGCATCACTCCATCCACAACCAATTGGGGGCGTGGCAGGATGGCAAGCAGTGTCACTGGTTACTTATGGAGGCACAGGGTGAATCAGTGCCAGCTTCTCATAAGAACGGGCTTGTGACAACTGGCATAACTGGGAAGCTGTTGAAAAGCACCTTATGGCCACACAAAAGATGGAAAAGGAGTTATCTGTCTGCAAGATACTAGGTGGTAACTTTCAAAACGCCCACAAGCAACTCCCTCCATGGGCAAAATTAATGCACAACATTGTTAACTACAGCTGTGAAAGGCTGGGACAACACACCAGCTGAAAAACAAAACCTGAAGCTCCAGGGAGGAGGTCACAAAATCAGTCCCATGAAACAAGGAACGGAGACTAGATCAAAGGCAAACAAATTTAAAAACCCACAAAGAGGGTGTCAAGAAGAGAGGAATGGATTGTGGACAAATGCATTAGCTCTGGGCATTTCTAGAGCTGCCATTCAAGGTCAGCCTGCTGGCACAGAGTCCGATTGCAGAATTCCAGAAACAGGTATCAGTGACAGGAAGGAGCATATTTCAGCTCCTCTGGTGCCAGTCCCTAGGAAGGGAGACAATATCCGTGGCACGCCCCAGCCCACAGGCTGTGGCCAGAGCTTTGGCTGCCCAAACACAGTGTGTTGGTGTCCAACAGCACATGGGCACAGCTGCGCCTCAGCCCAGAGCTGTCCCTGCCACTGCCATCCTCACCCCCAGGGTAGGGGCTGCCCCCAGCTCACCCTAAACCCAGAGTTGCTGCCTGAGCCCTAGGTTTCCTCCTGGTTAGCAGCCATTGCTCCTGCCTCCCTATTCCCTCTGGTTGAGCAGAGAGAGAGAGAGCAGGAAGGAAATTACAGAAACAGTAATTTTATTCCAAGGGCAAATGTATTTAAATAATTTACAGTCATTGGACAGCCTGAAAGTTGTTGGGTTTTTTTTCTATGATTAAATCACAAAGATGTTAAAATAAAAACAGTATTTAAAAAATGACCATACACAGCATGAGGGAGGGGCTGGGCACAGGGGACCTGCCGGACCCCAGGGAGGGAGCAGGGCCCCTGTGGACAGACACACACCCCCTGCCCCAGAGCAGGTCTGTTCTGAGGGGAGAGGAGCCATCCCCTCCCTGCTGCGTGCTGGAGCGAAGGCGAGCAGCCGGGGAAAGGCGTGGGGTGCCTGTGGGGCCCTGGTGGCATGGGGCAGCCCTGTGTGCAGAGCCAGCTGCCAGCCCCACATCCCAGAGATGGCCAAACAGGGTGGGAGGGAGGCGAGGATGCATTGCTACCCCATGCTGTGCCCTCACCCCAACCCCACGACACAGGGGGCTGCTGGCTCCTCCACTCCTCTGCCGGAGCCAGGCTGGCCATGCTGCAGGGTGGTCTCCAGCCCCAGGGGATAAGGCAACACTTTGTGTTCAGGGAAGGAGCCCAGAGCTCCTCCAGCACCGTCCATTGCTCCTGCCCCACGTCACCTGGGTCCCTGACCTCAAGGCTGGTGCCATGAGGTGCTCCCTGGGGTGCCAGGGGCACCACAGCTCCTGGACAACAGCCTGAGCTACCCCTCTGCCCCTCTCAACCCCTTCCACCCCCCTGGGTACGCAGCCTGCCCCAGGGGGGGCTGCTGTGGCCCAGGAGGGGTTGGGAGTGACACTGGGGTAGCTGGGGACAACACTGTCACCCACAGCAGTAGTGGGTGAGCAGGCACTTTCCAGCTCCCACAGGCCCATGCCGGGGGACCCGTTCTCTCCCCGGCCCCACCAGCCTCGCTCTTAGCTCCAGACGTCCAAAGAGTACCGGCCCTTGGTCATCAGTTTCTTTACATAGTCCACAGCCTGGGGCTGGCTCATGTTCCCAAACTCAGCCACGATCTCGTAGAAGGTGTTCTGCACGTCCCGGGCCATGTTGCGAGCATCGCTGGAAACAAGGGGAGCATGAGCGAGGCAGTAAGACATGAGAGGCACAGAGCCCTGGCTGCCTCTCAACACCCGGACACGGACAGTTCACTCAGCCCAGCCCATCTGCCCGGCCACATGCCCTCCCTGGAACAAGGACAGCGCAACCCTCCCAGGGCTTGAAACACACAAGCAGGTAAACTGAGTCACGGTCATTTTCCTGAGAATAGAAACGTTTTCCCGAAGTCCCTTCCCTGCCCCTGGACTTACCCGCACACATAGATATGAGCATTCCCCTCATTAAGCAGCTTCCAGATGTTTTCCTTGTTCTTCTTCAGTAAGTGCTGAACATAAACCTGGCAGAAAACAAGGTGGCAGTGAGGTGAGAGGGACAGAGCTCCCACCCCACAGGCCATGGCGAGAAAGGGGAAGCCAAGCCCATGCTCGTGGCTCACAGACCCTGAGCTGGGTGCTCCTATGACTGTCATGGGCCTTTGCTAGCAGCGAGGCTCCAGGCTGGGAGTCTCCAGCCCTCAGAGGCTTTTCTTCCCCCACTGCCACAGCTGGGAGCGATTGCGGGCAGCACAGGCAAGCGGCTGGGGGACTAGAGTGGTACCTTCTCAGCCTGGTCCCTGGAGAAGGCAACGTTGAGCTGGGTGAGGACTCCCTCCTGATGGAAGTGGGCCAGCTCCTTGCGGTACAGGTAGTCCTCACGCTCGTGGCGGCAGCCGTAGTAAAGCACTGTGTCGCCCACCTCTTTGCCTGCAGAGTCACACAGCACCCGTCAGCTGGCCCCCTGAAGCCCCCACCCCGCCTTGTCCTGCCAACCTGGTGGAGACAGAGCTGCACAACTGCTGCTGTTTGAGGGGAAGTTGAAGATTTGATTCCCCCAAATACCCAGATGATTTAGAAATGGATCTAAGTGACTTGACTGTGACTATTCAGACATGGTGGCAGAAGACAGAGAACTGGCCCATGTCTATCTGCCCCCCCAAAACATCCTCTGTGGCCAAGAGGAAGACAAAGCATTCCCATTTGCTGCTGTTCACCCTGCTCCACCACCTCTGCTTTTTGCTAGTCCCATCAGCGATGTGAGCAGCACAGGCTGCACCTTGGAGGCACCACCTGGCCCTGCAGAGCACCGTCCTGCAGCAGATCCAGGCCCCAGGGGAGTTTCTGGGCACTCACCTTGCTGCTTCAGCCAGGCCCGCTCCTGAATGAAGCCGATGAAGGGGGCTATGCCAGTTCCCGGCCCGATCATGATGACAGGCGTGCTGGGTTTGAAGGGCAGACGGAACTGCGACTTCCTGACATACATGGGCACCAGGGAGTTGCTCCCATTCTCGTTGGGCATCTTGTTCTTGAGCCAGTTGGTGGCCACCCCTTTGTTCAGGCGTCCCGTCTTGGTCTCGTACTCCACCGTCACCGCACAGATGTGGATGGCGTTGGGGTGAACCTGCAGGGAAGGGATGTCAGTGCCAGGCTGAGAGAGAGCCCCAGCAACCCCACAGCTCAGTCCCTCGTGCTCAGGGATGGGGAAAAGTTTAAGCTAATGTTAACACTGGGACAGCTACTCCTCCCCTGGCAGATCAAACCTCCCAGCATGGCCCACATTCTGTCTTGCACCCAGCTCATCACAGGACCATAGTATCACGAACAACCTCAGGCTTCAGGCACAAAGCGTAGTGTGAATTTTGGCCAACTCCTAAAATACCACCTTGCTTCCAAGCCCTGAAAGCACAGCCTATGGGTGAAGAGGAGCAGGGCTGCAGGGAACAGGGTGGTATCAGGGCACAGCTGTGTGACCCTCTGCAGACCCTGTGAAAGTTGGGATAACCAACTTTCTTTATTCTCATGCACAGAGATAACTAGAGCTGGCCCCCCTCACAGAAAGTGTTGACAGGGCAAGTTCCCCATGTCCTGTCCCCAGCTGGACAGGGGGATGGTGGCACTGTGGAGCTGCAGCTGAAGCCTCAGCAGGCTGAGTCCCTGCTGGAAGCACACTCACCTTGGAGGAGGAGGCGATGGAGTAGTAGCGGGCCTGCAGGCGGGGCAGGAGCTCACACAAGTGGTCAAGGGGGGGGCGCAGCGAGGGCATGTCCTGCAGGATGGCCAGGATGTTCCTCCGGGCTTCCACCACCCAGCTGAGGTAGAGAGCCTGCAGGCAAGGAGGGCACACACATGACAACTTCCCTATGTGGTTGGCAAACACCCCCTCAGCTCTCTGCACGTGGTGCCCAGCAGTCCCAGATCCCATTTGAGGATCCCCCAGCACCCAGTTCAAGCCAGCAGCTCTGCTGGGCAGGCCACAGCTCCCACCTTCCCCTCAGCAGCAGACGATGCCATTTTGCGGAGGCGCTCCTGCTCGCTGGTGTCCGTGGCGTACTGGGCCAGCTCGTAGAGGACGTTGGTGCGGGGCGGGTTAGTGATGTCCAGGTAGTACGTCAGGGCTGTACGGTAGGACGTGGGGCAGGGGAAGGGGTGTTTCTTATTGGATTCCTCTGGATAAGGAAGAGAAAAAAAAAAAAAAAAATCAGAAATCAGCAACCACTTGCTGTTATGTTAGAGATTTTGTGCCAGCAGCTACGCGCAGTGTATGAGAGCTGGAGACAGAGAATGGGCTTCAGGGAGGAGAGAGCAGCCCTAGAGCTGAATCAGCCTGTTGGCCCAAGCCCTGATCCCACACTGAAGCAGCTCCAGCACACCTCCTTCTCCAGGCAGCTACATCTCCCAGTAGCCCCTTTTGTGTTTCACAGATGCTGCCTGACAGCTTATCAGTAAAAAAAAAAAATACTCCATGCTCCCCACCGGGGCTCTCTGCCCTGAGATAACACAGAGGCACCCAGCAAACTCCCAGACCAAGCAGGAGAGCTGTTCTCCACAGCTGTTCTCCACAGCTAATTTGGCCTCACACACTTACACCTCCTTCAGATCTGGCCTCGGAAGTGTCCTTAGTCTCCTTCAGCCACGGACAGTTGTGCTCAGAGGCGCCACAGGAAAGTGCCAGCAGTCAAGGCTGGAGCCATTCAGTTCAGCAAATTAAGAGCTCCGGAAAGGACAGGAATGACAGCATGAGGCCAGACAACATGGGACACTGCACAGCAGGCTCTGGCAGTGCGTTACAGACACTTGCTCTCCTGAAACCAGGAGCTCCCTTAGGCTCCTGGGCCAGCACATCTGATGCCTCAGGTCAGGCTGCCCTGCTTCAGGAGTAAGATGGGCAGCAGCTGCCGTCTCCCTCCTGCCAGTGACCAGCTCTGCTGGGAACACTGCCCAAGGAGAGGTCTTTGTATCAGCACAAGTGCTCCCTCCTGCCAGCTCAGCCCCAAGCCTGTGCCTCCTTCAAAGACTGCATAACAGCATCTCAGACAGCAAGGCCCCCATGGAGCTCTGGGGCTGCTGCAGCAGGGGCATGCTCTGGAGGACTGATGGTCATAATTAGGAGCATGCTGTTATATAATGTGTTATTGAACATTTACACTAAGTAAATTTCACAACTGGCCCACTTCAGCTGGCTCCCAGCAGCAGGCTCTGTGCCGCTGCTAGAATGGCATGGCAGACTGTGTGGCCATGGGACATCTCTGTTGGCCTGAAGGTGCCCTACGGGACCTGAAGGTGATCTGGTCCCTGCTCTGGTGGGAAGGATAGAGGCCATAGCTGAAGGAGAACTCCTGACACTCAGGGGTGATCCACACTCACCGTCCAAATTGTTTAGGGACATGATCGTGTCCAGATCCATGCCCAGGATCTCACCAATCTGATTCACCAGAGAAGAGTCATTGGCTGGGTACACTGCCACGTGGTCCCCAGACTCGTACCTGGCACGAGAGCAGGAGGAGAGCAGATGAAACACCAGCACCACTTCTTGTCCACCCCAAGCCTGAGTTGCTCAGCTAGAAGACAAAGCGGGCTAGTGCAAGGGGCAGTATGACAGCTCCAATATCTGACCTGCCACAGAGTCAGGAATCCCCAAGAGCCAGCAGAAACAGCAGAAAGGACCATTGCGGAATAATGGTGGTTCTTAAAACCACCATTTTCAGAAGGGACCTCCAAAGTAACAGCAGATTTGCCAGAGACTTCAGCAAGGCTGGACTTTCATCAAGGACAAGTTAACTCCCTGACAGGCAAGGAGCAAAGCTGCTCAAAACCTCTGCAGCATTTTGTTACATTAAGCCACATGGATTCACAGCTTTCTCACACACACACACAGAGGAATTTAAGCATGAGGGTTTTTAAGAACAGGGCTTTATTCCTCCTATGCTGGTACACCTAAGCCAGGCAAACCCAGGCATGAGCCATCCCAGCTCTCCCCTCTCTCACAGCTCATCTGCCCCCTCAGTTTTCCAAGGACTTCTAGAGAATTCTTGCAACTGAGACTACTCAGGTAGGACAGGTATGTGCAACCAGCTCTGGAGGAACCCAGAGCAGCCAGCTGGCACAGTCAGGCACAGCACAAGAGCTGGGAGAAAGACCTGACATGTGGTACAGAAGCCCAGAGGGGCAGTGTTAAGTAACTGTGAGAACAAGGTCCCCTTCTGAAGTGCTGGATGAGACCAGTGGCACATCCTTGTTACATGCTCCTGATGCAGACTGCTCCTGCCAGAACAGAGGAACAGTCTCCCAGGGAAAACTACCTGATTTTGGAATTGGAGATATCCAGCTCCAGGTGCATGAGGTGTCGCTCTCCACCCTCGTTCAGCTTGCGGTTCTCTGTAACCTGGGCCAGGAAGGGGTTCTTGGCATCAAACGGCCTAGAAGGGAAGACAAGGATCCTCTGGGTTACTCTCCTGCAGGCTGACAGTGCTTTCTGTATCCAAGCATGCTCCCTCTGTCTCCAGAGCAGGCTCCCACGATTTGAGCATGGGGCTGTCCTGGCTCATGTTTCAAAGCACACCACAAACCAAATTATGATCCTGCTGCTACCCACACTGGCAGAGAAAACTGATCATTTTCCTTCTAAGCACAGCTTCGGTCCCATTAAAAACAAGTGATACAAAAGGAGATTGGAAGAACGTCACATCTCAAAGAAATATTTCAGTTTGGAAATAATTTATACAGCTCTTCTCTCCAAAGTAATGCTGCAAGCAACCATCACGCATTAGCTTCCCTGGGCAAGGACAGACAGTGACCTCAAGACAGGTGCTGCAAATGTACCAGCCAAACAGGACATGTGAACACAGCCATCTTCTCACTTGCTAATGATTCATTAACCAGGGAATCCCTCAGAGTCCCAGTGAAGGTCTGAGCCCATTTCTCTTGGGCAGGTATCTGCCACACGGCTGCGTTGCAAAAACGACACTGCCCACATAGCACATGTTGTTAGAAACACCAAGGACTCTGCCAGGCAAAGCCTGGCCCACGTACACCCTGCCCAGGGCTGTGTGGCACTTACGGCTTCTGGTTCTCGTAGCTCTTGAGACGACCCATCTCACCCGTGTAGACTTTGTTCATGTTCACATCTGTGTGCACCACCAGCTCATACTGGCGGATGCTGGAGGAGGAAGGGGGAAAGAAAAGAGAAAAAAGTCAAACCAGAAATCGCAAGGTACATCTAGAACCAACATCTGCTTTGCTGGATTTGCTGCAGTTCAAAAACAAATGCAACTTCAACCCCTTTGCCCCTCTCAAGACATCAGGAATCAGGCAGAAAGCCCAAACCAGGAGGAAACATCAGCTTCACTGGGAGCATCACAACCCAGCAAAGCTCCCCACAAAGGGACCAAACCCATCACATCCCTCTTCAGACCAGAAATCCACAGCTGGGTTCAGGCTCAGTCCAAACAGCCCCCACTCTCTTCACATGTGCCCTCTCAAGTTTGGGAGGCAGCACACAGGAAAGGGGACAGCAGCTCAGGGCTGATGCCACAGCCACCACTCAGAGGTGGCCAATCTCTCTGCACCCAGAAGAACCTGCTCCCATACCCACCTGGACTCTTCTCCTGTAGCCTCCACCCCAAAGTGTTCACACACTGCTGGCCAGAACTGCTCTCTCCAGGTGATAAAATCTTCTTCCAAGCTAGCCAGGGCAAAAGAGAGATTCAGTAACCCTGTCCAAGGGGGAGAGAAGGGCTATTCCCAGAGGAGCCATCTGAGATCCCTATGGAATTCCTCCTTCACCAAAGGAAAATGCATTTGCCCTTGGATCCAAGCAGTTTTGGTATGTCTACATGCCCACAAATTGCCAGAAGAGCATCTTCTGATCACTAAGTGGGTAGGAGGGAACTGTGCCACCCCTTTCCTTCACCAGTCTGCCAAGGAAGGCTTTGTTATTCAGACTCTGTCTTTAACCAACTCATCTCCCTCTCACACACTCCTGTTATTAGGTCACCTTCCTAAAGGCAGATTCCACCATGGCAATGCTTATTTTTCTGGGCTCAGAGTCTCCCACATAGAGCACATCCCTCTCATCAGGTCTTGCAGCCCTTAGAGGTAAAGCCACAGGTAGATGCAATTTCCTAGGTTAAGCTGGTTAAATTAAGCTGGTTAAGTTGAGCATTACACAGTGCTCAGGTGATCATAGAGAGGTCAAAAACCCCAAAATCATTGTCCAAGTTAAAAAATTGCTGCCTTCCACCATAAAACAGTTCACAAGGAGATGGAGTTTGCCTCCTGCACAGGGATGGGTGAGTTTATCCATACAGGCTGGGTTAGCAAGGGAGCTGCAGGTGGGCAGAGGAAGCTGCAAAGCCTCCTCAAGTCTGTAACTAAGGTCATTTAAAGCTGATGTTGCCTTTCCCAGACACAGGATCCTCTAGGATACTCCAAGTGTACAGGGATCCAATTGTGAGAGAGCACACAGACACACAGAGACACATCAGCTCCCACAGCTAGTGCTATGGGAGTTTACTTCTGTCTTAGTAGTAGAGCCAACTCCCTGTCAAGGCCCCTTCCACAACGCTTTAGTCAGCTCTGCCCAGACCTTCAAGCTAAGCTACTCACTTGCCATCATCATCTCCCAGCCCAAGTTCAAAGATGCGTTGGGCTCCAAGTTCCTCCAGTCTCTTGTCCACATACTTTCCCATGGCATTGAAGTGTTCATAAGTCTTGTTCCCCAGCCCAAAGACCTAGAAAGGGAATGCTGATGAGTGTGGAGAAGCAGCGGCTGGATGTTTCCCATCCAGTTGGCATCCTCCAGCCAGTATCACCCAGCAAAGGAATCACAGAATCATCTTGGCTGGAAAAGACCTTGAAGATCATTCAGTCCAACCATTAACCTCACACTGACCATTCTCAACTCCACCAGATCCCTCAGCACTGTGTCAGGCCAACTCTTAAACCCTTCCAGAGATGGGGACTCCCCCCTGCCCTGGGCAACCCATTCCAACACACAACAACCCCTTCTGAAAAGAAATGCTTCCCTAATATCCAGTCTAACCCTGCCCTGGCACAGCTTGAGGCCATTCCCTCTTGGCCTGGCGCTGGTTCCTTGGCTCAAGAGACTCATCCCCCCACTCTGCACCCTCCTGCCAGGGAGCTGTAGAGGGCCAGGAGGTCTCCCCTCAGCCTCCTCTTCTCCAGACTAAACCCCCCCAGTTCCCTCAGCCGCTCCCCAGCAGACCTGTGCTCCAGACCCTGCCCCAGCTCTGTTGCCCTTCTCTGGACACACTCGAGTCATTCAATGGCCTTTTTGGGGTGAGGGGCCCAAAACTGAACCCACTCATCGAGGTGCAGCCTCACCAGTGCCCAGTACAGGGGTAAGATCCCTTCCCTTTCCCTGCCTGGCCATGCTAGTGCTGATACAAAAGTTGAAGACAGACAGCAAGTCCTCTCCCAGCTCCCCGTCAGCTATTCATGGACCTTGAGTAAGAATTTACCACTGGAGTGTTTGCTGGTCAGTAGGTACCACACCTCTGCTGAGCCAGGCCTTGGGCACGTCAAGGGGATGCACATACAAGAGCTGCCTGCACCATCTCCTAGAGGGACCAGGAAAAGCCTGGACTCCCTGGAGAATGACTGCTGCCCCTTGCCTCCCACAGACCGCTCAGCAAATGTTTGCTCAGTGCTTACACAGAGCAGCTTAACATCTCCAGCAGTGGATTTTCTCCTCATTTGCAATTATTATGCTGCCTAAGGAATTTGGCTGGGCTTTAGGTGAGGTGGCTGTATCTCAGCCAATTATTCAGCTCAGCACAGGAAGAGTGCTACACACTCCAAGTGATTTAATTTGCAGGAGAAGATCTGGCCTGGGGCTGCTCAATTAACTTCTGAACAGCAGCAGCAGCAGCCTGTAACTCATTTACAGACCTTGTATTCAATGCCTGCTGGGCTGTTTGTGGCAAGACATTACCAGCAAACCCTTGTGATTTAGGGAGTGGAGAGAGTACTCTGACTCTGCATTTAAAGCCCCCCAGATATATGTTTGCAAGCGTCTATGAAACCTGGGGAGGAAGACAATAGGGGCTGCATCTGACACAGGCATACAAGGCATAGACATCATGTTGTGCCTTTACCTAAGCCACATGCAGGCACAGTGGAAGGCTTCTGACTTTCTTGCCCAAATGCAACATAAGCTGGAATTGAGCCACTTACTGCAAATCGGAGACCCGACAAGTCAGCGTCAGCCTCCTGCAGCCAGTCGTAGAAGTCTTGGGCATTGTCCGTGGGATCACCTTCACCGTAAGTGGCCATGCAGAACACAGCCAAGGACTTGTCAATCTCTGAGAGGCGACTCAGATCCGACTACAACCAAAGGAAAGAATAAACCCTCAAGGGATCCCACAACACGGTTATTGGGCAAGTCTATTCCTACAATACAGAATACCTCTGGTTGAGCAGAACAGCACCACGTAATGTCAAACAGCTGATTACAAAAGGGATTGGGAAAGGCCAAACCCACTCAAAACGGAAGGGGAAATAAAGCTAATCACCCTCGCTGGACTGCAAGTCAATTCTTCTACCCCACCAGAAAAGCAATGGGATTTTCCATACAGGGCTTTAAGGGACCAGGATCGTTGTTCACTTTGGAGAACACCACAATGTCAGTGCCTCTGTCCAAGCCTGCCGCAGTATGGGCCCAATGCTAACTACAGAAGGAATATGGAGCAAGTTTCATGCTGACAGTGGATGATTTGCACTTCCCAAACACTCTAGACCACTTCCCTTTTTCAGTCATGTTGCAGTGCTCACTCCAGATCTGTGGAATGGCAAGGACCAAGTCCATCTCTCCATCTCTCAGGCTGATCTTTTCTCCCCTCAACGACGTGACTAAAAGGGAAACTGTCCCTTGGCCAGGCTCCTTCCATTTATTTTCAGGGGACATAAAAGGATGTTACCTATCCTGAGGCTGTTCATGGCTAACTTACCAAGTCATACTCCTCTGGATCTGCTGCCATGCCCCGAAGGCCATAGCGATGAGCATCTTTGGAAAGACGATTGGCAAACTCCTCTGCTGTACCCGTCTGGGAACCATAGAAAACCACTATGTTTCGCCCCTGGAGAGAAAAATAAATCCCTGTTAAATGGTGATTACTCATTTGGCAAATGCAAGGATGAAGCACATCTCGTCAGAGGCAAAGGAAACATCTGGTATCAGGAGCCCTGGACTGCAACCTAAAGGCAGTTAAGAGTCTGCACTCGGTACAGGACTCCAGGCTGGGTTTGCAGCAGAAAACTCAAGGCTAAGCTGTTAATAAGAACATGAGTCCTGTCAATCTCAGAGGGATGACTCAGGTCAGACAAACCCAAAGCAAAGAATAAACCCTCAAGATTTATACCCAGCCTCAAGGCTGCAGTGTGACTCCTGGAAACAGGGAACTCCCTGGATGAGAAAGCAGATTTGCCTAAGCTTTGGGAAAGCGCCTCAGCACCAGAGCTCCTGCTCTGCCACAAGCCACCTACTTTGAAGTAAAACGGAAAACATATCCAGCCCTTGCTTCTTCCTCTGCTTCCTCTTGTGTCCAGTCCAGCAGAGTCAAAAGCTGCCAGTTCTGCATACAACAGTTCCCATTCCATACTGAGCCAGTTTGGGAACCAACCATACAGATAAACAACTGCCAGCCAATGACTTTAAAGTCTTTGCCATCTCTCCTTCTGACTTTGATCTCGTATTACACTTTTTTTGCACCAAATTTTCACTTTAATTTTTTCTTCTAAGAATAACTCTCAGGCATAGACTGAGAGAGCTATTCCTGCCCACACAGCCTTCCTCTGGATGCTCTTTGCAGCAGACATGTCTCTGTATCCAAACCAGTCCCCTTGCTGACAACTAGACAGACTCCAGAGGAAACTGGGAAGGACACAAGCTCCCCCACCTTCCTTCCCAGTGCCCCACATAGCCAGAGCAAGAAGCTTACCGTCTTCTTCATCTTCTCAATGAAGCTGCTGTCTCTCACTGGAGCTGCTCTGAAAGACAGCAAGAACCTCCTTTCAGATAAGCACATTCATTCTTTAAGTTCAGAAATAAGCAAGTGGGGAAAACGTGGCTCCCAGATCGCAGGAAAGCTACCCAAAGGGGTGAGAGTCCTCATCAACCACTCTTATTTATCCTGTCCCAGGGATGACTGTTGCTCAGCTCAGGACTTCTCTGCACACACCCATGGAGCAGGGACTCCGAGAGCAGAGGGGAAAAGCTGACCCCCTGCCTTACCTCCATCGGTAAATCCTCCCACAGGCAAAGCCCAGGCACTCAGCCCTGGGTGTCAGGAAACCTTTACTCTATCAACTGCTCCAAGAGGCTTCACACCTGAGCAGGTCACAAGGATCTCACAGAGCTACAATGCAAGAGTATGTCTCCAGATAAATCCCAGGGGCCAAGCCATGGTGGGAGAGAAGGGAAGGGAAAGCTCCCTGCTTCCCCCGCTGCAGCAGACAGGCAGAGGATCGATCCTCACCCATGACCCCCAGGGCAGATTCCCCAAGCCTGAAGTCAGACAGGGCTAAAAACCAGCTGTTCCGACCTCAAAACAGCATGCCAGACATGAGTCCCAGAGCTGGAGAGCCCTGCAGAGCAGACGGAGGCAGCTGATCGGACCCACAAAGCTGCCAGCAAGGCAACCAACTGCCTGCTGAGGTCCTGCAGGGCTCGTTCCCACGCTGGCGTTTGCATCCCCAGTGCGGATCTCCAGCACAGAGAGTGTTTGTTTTATTGCATGGAGGCAGCTTTCTCTAGCTCAGAAGCAGGACAAATCACAGCACCGTCAGAAACATCAAGGCAGAGATTCACACCACTCTGGCTACCCTATTAGGTAGGGAGCCAGAAAAGCTTTGCTATCCTAAGCACACCCATGGGGTTTTAGTGTCACAGGGTGAAAGCAACCCAGCCCCAGGGATCCTGGGAGCCTCACAAGCAGAGGTGGCTCTAGCTACAGTCAGATTAGGTGCTGGGGTCTTTCAAGGCAGGAGGGCAAGTGCCAGGAGCTCACTTGCTGTCTTCCCCATTGGAGCTTCCGTAGCGGGGAGGTGGAACATGGGACCCGTTCCTGTTTCTCTTTCACAATGGAAGAATGCAAGGCTGGGTCTCCTGTGGGAAGAGAGAAGCCTCCAGGCAAAAAACAAATGGCTTTGGCTCCAGCCCATGTGAGAATGTGCAGAGCTCGCTAACAGTTTCCTAAACTCTTCAGTCCAGAGGGAGGGATCTCTGCGGATGTGCAGAGGCATTTGCAGAGCACACACACAGACACGGAGCGGCAGGGTGGGGGGTGTTCAGTAACACATGCCTTCAAGCACCCCTTTCTACCCAAAGGTATCAGTGAGCTCCATAACCAGGACTGACAGCTCTGCGCACCAACAGTCTCATACAGCATGCACGGAAGATGAGCAAACCCTACCCAAAAAAAGCTACCAAAGGCAGCTGTGCTCCCAGGAGAGAGCGGCTTTGCACCCCCCACTTTGCTCTCTCAGCAGTTAAAAGTCTCTTGTGTTGTCATTTGTCCCCGATGGGAACAGGGATATCACAAGCATCTTCAGAGAGCAGCCCCAACCCTGCCCACGCTACTGTCGGGACAGGGGCTCGGGCAAGCTGCCCCCCAGCCAGCTCACAAGACTTAACTTGCACTTAGCTTTTGGCTCCCCGGTGAACCTCTTTGGTTTACTGCCTTCTGCAAATGAGATCCAATTAAAATAGCTGTTGGGTCAACTGCTAAACAAAACGCTTTTAAAGGAAAAAAAAAAACCGTTTTAGATCCTTTCAGCAAGCTCCCTCTGGAAGAGAAAAGGGTGCAGCACATGGAGCTTGTCCATTTTCAAAGGAGGCAATCCTGCACTGAAGTGTTGTGAACAGTCTGTGGCTCAGACACAGAAGAAATAATGAGTCTGGCTTTTGAAAAAAGGCTACACAACTCCCTGAAATTTCTTCATCAGGGTGGCTTGAAAAATCTGAGCTGCAAAAACTCACAGACACTGGAGACAGAAATGACACTCCTTTTTGCTGCTCAGCCAGGAAAACTTTTAAGAGAAAGTGTATTTTCAGCAACAAATGCTCTTACAGCTTAGATAGCTCAGGGTAGCAACTAGGAGTGTTAGAAGAAGCGATGGGTGGAAGAAAGAGGATTAACTCCACTGTTGGAGAATCTAGCTTGTACAGATTGCCCACCCTTGGTGAGAGCCCACAGCACAAGTGACACCCAGGGCTCTCCGATACTTTGACTGCAGGAGAAAGAAAGGAGAGAGGAGGAAGTTCCCAGCAGCTCAGCAACAATATCAAAGTGTCTCAGCTGAACATCTCTCCTTCAGAAAGCTCCCATGCCCATCACTTTGCTCCTGAAAGCACACATACAGCCACAAGAGAGAACACAGCCTGGCCATTGCAGAGAAACCCGAGCACTGACAGAAGGGTCTCCTCTGGAACAGCCTGCCTCTGAGCAGACTCTCGCCTTACTTCTCCTCCTGCCCCAGAAGGGAGAAGGACCCCACTCCACCCAGCTTTGGGGTGGCAGGAGCGACCCTCCGAGTCAGAGTGATCCCGCCTGCCCATGGGGCAGATTAACTCACCTCGCCAGGGCCACCTCTTCTCGCGGGGCCGAGTACACGCAGCCCATGGCTGGGGCAGGCAAGAGGCAGACAAAGAGTCGCAGGGCAGCCGTGTCTGTCTGCAAGGGGAGGTGTAGGGGGACGGATCTAACTTAGCTCTGGAGCAACACGCACACAGGCCTTTCCATTCTGCTCCTCCTGGGCATTAAAGCCAAGCGTCAGCCTTTTGTTAAGGAGAAGAGAGCCGGCACAAAAGGTCCCAGCACGGGTCATAGCAGGAATGGTCCTGCCTGCTCAGATCCTCGTGGTGGGGCTTCGGAAGTTACTGAGTGGATCCGCGCAGTCCTGAGAAACTGCAACATCTGGCAGCAGTGGCAGAAAGGAATTAGGAGTGGAGAATGACACCTCCCAGGATCCTCCGCAGCACACGGCCCTCTCCCATCCGCGTGGAGCAGGGGGACGGGACACAAAACCCTCCCCCAGCCTTGTTACCTTGGAAACTGTTTATATCACAGCTGCTTTTATATATATTCTTTTTTCTAAAAAAAAAAAAAAAAAGTCGACGCTGTAGCTGAATGAAATGATTCCAGACACTGCGTGAGCAACGCTATGGGTAACTATGGCAGTGCCATTACGGAGGCAGCTCAAAGGAGTTTGTTCTCTTCAGGATCCTATTAAATTAAATTAGAGATGGTCGGTCTCTCTCTAACACACACGCAGGCAGCAAAGAGAGCTAATCAGGCTAAGGAGTTGGAGCAATTCCTGGCACAGGAAGCCCTACAAGCACCAGGGAATGGATTTCTCTAGAGCTGCAGAATAGAGATAAGCCAATTCATGCCCCAAACAATGTTAAAGAGAGGGGGAGAAGGGAGGGGGTGACACCCAGCATACCAATCGCTGACTCGATTACATCTCCCCAGGGCGACAGTCTGCACGACTCTGGAATGGGCACATGAGAAAGGAAAGAAATCTGTGATTGGGAAACACGAAGAGGAGGCGCAGCTGAAGAATAAAAATAAATGAGTGCATTCCCCAGCGAGGAAGCACAGTGGCCGTGGCTGCGTGGCGATCGAGAGCCGTTCTCCTTAATGACATCTGCAGAGCAGGCTGTGGGAAAGCTGCTCCAGTGGTTTCAATTAAGTCTGAAAACGGTCAAAACGCAAACAATCCTCAGAGGGCGGTATCCCAGCCTGCCCCACGCACACGTGTATTACACAACACAGGTACAGGACGTCTTGTACGTGGGAAATCTCTGCATATGCTGGACTCTGACCCTTCTCTGTGGACTTCAGGCAGGAAAACAGCTCCTCTTGGCTGCAAGGGTGAGGGATCAGCAAGCGCCTGAGCTGTGGCTGAACGCAGAGATGCATTGTCAGGGCAAGATCATGACTGTTCCCAGGCGACACAGGCTGGTGGAGCCATGCAGAGCAAACCCAGCTCAGGTGCCATCCAGAACAGGGTATTTTGACCATGCATCTGTTCTTTCACACTCAAGAGCAGTTGCAGCGACATTTCTTTTGCAGATCCTGCTGAGCTGATGTGGCTCGATCAAGGTGTGCTGCTCAGCGGGGCTCCCCAAAACCCCAGGAGGGCACCAAGATGCTGGACGCTGCGTTCAGGTCGGAGACTCTGCTTGCACTCTCCCACGCTGCGAGCAAACCTGCTAAAGCAGCAGCCATCATGATGCATCTGAACTGCTGTTCACCACTTCCATCCTCCAGTCTTCTGAGGCCGAAGCTGAAGTTGGGGGCCAAAGTGACACAACAAAAACCATCACCCGATACCATAGATAAAGTAGTTTAGGACAGTCTGGCGAGTCAAGGCAGAGCTGCAGAGAAAGTCTTCAGGTCAAGGCTCTCCACTTCAGCTGGAGACAGCCCCACTGAGGGCTCTCTGCCTTCACGGGTCTGGGACAGCTTCCCTGCCTGCAGAGGGGCCTGCCCCTGCCTGCCCATGGACCAGCTTGCTGTGTCCAGCCAGCCACAGGCAGTGGCTGACAGACGGCTCCTGTATCTTGCTGATTTGCTTGTTCATCAGAAAGGAAACTCCACCCCAGACTCAAGGAAGACAGGAGGGAAGGAAACCCAGGGCTAAACAAGCTTGTTTTCCCCACTCATTTCCCTCCCAGTTCCAAGTGTCCTATAAAATAACACTGCAAAAGCTGCAGGAAGTCGCTGCCTCTGTCGTGGAAGATGGATGTGCCCTCAGCCACAGCCTTGACTTACAGATCCACGCTGCCCTCAGACCAGCTTGCTACAATGACCGCAGCGGGGCTGCAGCAGGCAGTGGTAGGGCCAGGCTTAATGTACATTAAAACACTACTTCAAAGCCTCCTCTCAATCTTCACCTGCCTGGCTACCACTTTTCCAAAATGTAATTATGTCAGACAAGGTCCTGAACAATCCTGCCTCTCCCCTGTGGTTATGTGGGACAGGAGGTGCTGCTCTTCCATAGCTCCTGTAGGAAGCAGTTGCACAGTGCTGCCCGCCAGCGTCTCCCATGCAGACCGAGAAGGCAGCACACACCCCACAGAGGAAATGTTGACAAAATGCCCGTGAGTCAGCTCAAAGCCAAAACCTCCAGCCACTCTCAGATGGAAGCCCACATGCTGAGGTCCTGCAGCAGGACAAGGTGGCAACACGCACCCAGGGGAGGAGGAAAGCTGCTTTGCAGCGTGACTTCTCTGCCAGGTCACGACAGCCTCTGGAAGAGCTGCACATGATGGGTGGAAACAGTCACAAGGACAGTGAGCACAGGAGCTCTCCGAGTCAATCTGTGCCATGTCGGGATCTAATTTCAGATTGATAGTGCCATTTCTCAGCCAGCCTAGCTCTCATCGCAGCGTGGCTGTTCTCACTACAATCTCCAGAGGCAGCCACACGCACTGATACACACAGCCCTCTCTTGCAGGCATGAGAGCGAAAGCATCCAACCGATCCGACAAAACAAATTCCCAAAGTAGGGCTGAGCAGGCACAGATAGCTGGGCTGCTACCAGCCTCATGTGCACCTGCCTGCACATGGTACTGCAGCCAGGGTCATTTCTTTCTTTTAAAACCCTCCCAGCCATAAAACATCCTTTCCATCCTCCTGTGACATGGGTGTGTGCAGCCTGCCTGAGAGTTTGCTGTGAGCTACCCCTCCTATTACCCAGAGACTTCACAACAGCCCTGGCATCCCAAGCTTGCCTTCAAGCAGAGGGCTCTGCCACCAGAGGAGAGAGTCACGATCTGACCAAAGCAGGAATGATGAGACCAAACCTGCTCCTTTTCAATTATGACCTGAATTACAACACAAACACTGGACAACAAACCCTGAAAACTGAGGGCAGCATAACCCACTAAGGTAGACGTGAAAGTCTGAGATAAGATGCACAACCGCTTGCAGTGTTTGATTTAGCTTTCACATGAGGGTAACAGGAGCATCAATCCCTTGCTGAAATGCCCTGGCTTACCACCAAACATCCTCATCTGAGCAGCCTACAGTCAGGTCCTGCCATAGCTTCTCTCCACACTGGGCTGTAACACTTCAAAATGAAGGACTGAAGTACTTCTTGCCAGAGCAGCACACCCACTAAGTGCCACAGGGAGAAACTCACTTCATACAGGACACCTTGCTGGTGCAACTCTAGGTGTTAAATCTTGAAGCTACTGCAAGCAGCTGGACATCACTTTTCCCCTCCTCATGGCACAGCCTCACAACCAGCCACTCAGGACTTGGGAGCCTACAGTGAATTTGTAGCTGGCATTACAGACCCAGAAGATCGACCTTTGTTGCGTGGTTACCTTCTGCAAAGCACTAATACTGGAAAGCACAGAGCTGGGCTAAGGCTGAGGCTTTCTCTCTGTGGCAAACCACTCCCACACAGGGAACAGATCCCAGGAGACTGAAGGGAAAGATACTGTGTGATGACAGCTCCTACAATCTCTGCTGCCATGAGTTTCAAACCTCTATTTAGTGCTCTTACCAATGCTCCAGAAGGAACAGAAAGAATGAGCTAAAAACTCCAGCAGAAAACTGATGATAAGTTTGGTATGTGACTGAGACAAGCAATTAAATGCACCCAGATCTCCATCAACATGGCTCGTTCCTGGCCCTAAGCCCTTTGAAGAGGACTGGGTGGAACAAGGACCTCTCCCTCTCCACAACCAGTCTCCTGCTGCTGTGATAACGTGGCATCAAAGCCAAGCAAGTTTCACAAGAGCTGCCAAGCAGCTCATGCACAGAAATAATCTTCCAGCTTCCCAAGACTATTTCTTTTCTTTGTAGCTAAGGGTAGGTAAGATTTTTGATAGGAAACCTCTTAAGAGCAAGTCCACCTTTCTCCAGATTTATCTAAATATAACTTTTATCATAAAAAACAGAGACTAGTCAAAGCAATCCTTAAGAGTTTTGAAGTACAGCCAGAAGCTTTTCTGCCTTGCCTTTTCTTGCCTTGCTTGGGAATGGCAAATTACTGATTTGGGCCACACAGCGGGCTAAGACAGAACTGCAGGCTGGCTCTTCCACGGGAATTTCTGCATGGCGAGGTGAACATGCAGCTCAGAGGAAACGTGAGGGTAGAGATTTGCACTTTGGGACCAAGTCCCCTCACCTGGGGACCTCCTATAATCCAGCTGAGCCTCCTGCACAGCCTCCAAGGACCCACCCTAAGCAAGACAGAAAACTACACTCACCCCTCTGCCTGAGAGTTGTTACTTACACTGATTGCATTTTGGGTAGGTCTGGGACTTCCTCCTTTTTCTTGCGGAAGAACCACCAGTAAGTAAAAAGTCCGACGATGAGTGAGACAAGAAACAGGTCCGTCATGCTGAAGGCAGAGTCCTGCTGTGCAGTGGTGTCAGAAGGGGAGATGTTTGGTTCCATGCCAGCACCCTCCATGATGGTCACTGTAAGCAAGGATAAACAAATGAACATCAGCAGTCACACAGTGCCATGGAAGACCAGAACAGCATTGAGGGCCGTTCAAAGTATGCTTTTTCACTATACATTTAGTCCTAGGAGCACAAGGCAGCCCAACAACTCTTTGGAGAAAGGCTTTGCATCAACATACTGCAAGATTCGTTTTCGTCCCAAGGTATCTCGCTGCCCCACCAAGCTTTTCCCTTCCTGCTGATCCATCAGAAGTGATTTCAGCTCTCCCTCTGCCAGCACCATTGGAGCAGCACCACATTCCAGCCAGGGAGCTCAACCTGGCTCCTATTAATGCCCCAGCAAAACTCAAAAGGGACTCAGGGCCAGCCCTTACTCACCACAGAGCCCATGGGGTGTTAGTGGGGGAAGAACCCCCATTCCAGTCATGCCACAGATCTGGGGCTTCCTTCCTCCTTTCCACAAGTGATACGATGCCCCAGACCCATTGCTGTGCTTATAAACTGCAGAGCGGGACTGTGGCGTGGTATCTCTGCAAGCATCCCCACATTAGGTTGTTACAACAGAAATGATGAATACTTCTGATTTACTATCCACCTCCACATGCAAATTGGATTTACCACTCACCTCTTTTGGGCCAATGGCTTCCCAGTCCCCTCCACTATCTTCCCCACTTTAACTTCCATCTCCCTGAATTACTCATTTCCACTTGCTCAGGCAGAGTTTAAGTGACGTGTGACTTGCCCATGGCCGTACCCAGAGTCTGTGGTAGTGCAAGGATGAGGGCCCAGCCAGCCCTATGGCCCCTGTCCTTCCCCTAGGGAGCCACCCATCACTCCCTCCCTCTCACTGTGCTGCCAAAGCTCTGAAATCCTCGGACCCTAGTCCAGATCACAAGATTATCTTCCCAATACACAAGGACGCACTCTGTCCAAGCAAACAGATAATTAACTCAAAACTTGATTTGTAAGGGCAAAGTGACTCTCCTCTTGTACTTGGGCATCCTGCCAACCCAGGAGACCATGGACATTTGAACTTGCATGCAGAAAAGTGACTCAGAGCCACAGGGGTGCCATTGGAGAGAAAATACATGTGCCATGGCTGAGCCATGAGAGGAGAGTTAACCTGTTCAGCAAACCAGTGCCTGCCAGAGGAAAGCTCCTAGACAGCTTTCCAGGGAGGCTGAAAGAGAAGCAACAAACTCCAAGCTGTGCCTGGGCTGAGAAATAAAACTGACTGAAGTTTAAGGTTATGCTAACGTATTCAGGAGCTGGGCAGATGAGGGAAAATGATGCTTAGGGAGCACTAATGAGGGAGACTGGGTAAGGTCTTCAGCAAAGAACCACACCTTGTTGTTACCCCTACAAAGAAAAGTCCAGCTCCAGAAAACACAAAGTACTCTGCCACAGGCCACTGGCTATGAAAGGCAGCCCTGCAGAGTGCTGAGAGAAGTCCACAGCCACCTGGCAGTGATCACGGGTGAGCTTCTAGGTGCTTTTACAGCCAACTAGTTCGCAACCCCACAAGAAGTTTAATTTGGTGGAGAACTTGGCAAGTGACTGTACTATAAAGGGTACTGAAACACCACTGCAAAGCTTCCCATTAGGTTCCCAGAGATGACACTGAGCAGGGGGTTGGAAGAAAAATGTGAGTGATGTAACTGCAGACAAGCAAATTGCTCATTCCTCTCCATCAGGCAGGTCACCCTGTCCTCCCTCATTGCAGACAGGCCTTCCATCACCACATCTCAGAGCCAAGCAAGAGCTGGGTGTTATTTCTGTACAACTGTAGACTAAACTGTCAGTTAAAACCTCCATAACTGGACCTCAGTTGCCAACAATGCACAGCTCCCATTGGGGTCCCTTTCCTCCTCCTTATTCAGTTCCAGTAAAACACTGAGGAGGTGGTCTGGCAACTGACACCACGGGAATACACCGGTTGGGGGAAAAGTGTTGCTGGTTTATTGCCTTTACTCCTGATAAGGCCCCAGAATTTTTAATTGCAAGCTCTTCTCCTCCTCATTGCCACCCCACCCCATCTGTAGGAAGATCTCAGCCAAAAACTGGCAGGCAACCCATCCTCTCACATAGTTTTGGTTCTTGCCCTCTTGCTCATCACTTGAATTGCTCATTATGTCTAGGGCCAAAATCCCCTGAGGGCTGCTGGTCAGTGCTTCCCCAGGAGCCTCAGCTGCTGCTCCTGCACAGTGCAGCCCCAACTCTTCTCCGAAGAGATGGAGGAAGCAGTGCCCAAACACAGGCAGTAGGCTGCCTGGATAAGCATCTTCAATGCTGCAAAGTGCATTTTTTTTTCAGTGCCACCTTCCATTGCCCAAATTACACAAGGGTGGCCAGTGCCACCCACACAGGGCAGCAAACACCACGTCAGTAAGTTTATCCTCAGCAACAGCTTCTCTTTCACCCACTTTTCTTGACAAGCCCTTTCCCATGGCACATAAGGCAACGATAAACCTTTGCTCAGAGGAAGCCATGAAAAAAGCGAAGGCTGATGGAGAATACACTCAGCTGGTTTGGGGCAGGAGCTGCACCCCTTCCCTTCCGAGCGCCAAATCCAGCACTCGCAGCAGCCAAGCCCCAAGAAAGTCTCCTTGCACAGCAGCACCCATCGTAACAAACTGCACGTGGCGGAGAGTTTCAAGCTAGATGTCTTTGGTAAGCAGCAACCAGCCTGGGGTGGAATGCAGTCTGCATACACCCGGACCCACAGCAATTCCCCTCCCACCTCCAGATAGCTCAGACATGGGCGTTCGCCAGCTGCCCTTGCACAGGGTGAGAGAATGAGTTTGTGGGCTCATCAGCAAGGCAATGGCTACATCTCCAGCAGCAATTCATTGCTATGCCCACAGCAGCAGAGCTTCTGGCCTTCCAGAGCAAAAGGGGCAAGCAGCAGCCACGAGGGGTTTTGCTTTTTCAAGCCTCTGGAGGTGGTCTGCTCTCCCAGGCATCCCCGGGGAGGAAGCTCCCAGGAATGCAGCATGGACAGACACGGGGGAGGAGGAGGACATACTATCTCCTGGCCTTCATCACACCACAGCTCTCCAGCACTTCAAAGGGGAACCCTACAGCTGCAGCTGGACCACCCGATCACTTCCCACACCCACAGCCAGAGGGAAGAGCTTCCATTTGTGGAGGCTTACAGGTCTGGTGCATGGACCAGAGTCTTGGTCTGGTCTCCTCTCCTCATTCACAAGTCTCCACAGCATGAAGGTTATATGCTGACCTCTAACCCTGGGAGGAAACACAGTCATTCTCTAGTGATGGACCCAAAGACACAACAACTGCTTTAATTCTGATGATGGGCTCCATCTGGTCCTGGACATTAGTTATTAAGTCCTATATCTTACCTACAGATTTTTCTTTTTGCTCCCCACCCTTAGGAAAAGGTTTGCTTAGAGGTATCAAGAGAAAGGCAAAGGATGTGGAATTATACCTCACTTCCTTTTTTTAAAGGGTTGTCATAACTCAGGAACTATTTAACTCATTTCACGTAGCACAAGAATTTTATTCCTCAATTTATCTCAGTCTTACCTAGTTGGCTGTAACAATTATTTTCCAGAAGTTCACAGCAATTCATTTTCAAATACATATCCTTTTTCTAACTTCCAGTGACAAAAAAAACCCAAGACTCTTACTTGGAATTTAGCTGTCCTGGAAACTGTGCAGTCTCTGGAAGGACCCTGATAGAATAAGATCAGGTTTTTAAATGGGAAAATAAATTTATGATGCAGAAGTGAAAGTTCTCCTGACACCAGTTTCAAATGCAGTTATTTTATCCCCACTGTTTATTATATCTTCAATCAAGATAAGACAGACTTCCATTTCCCCTTTTTCATTTCTTTTTAATCATGACTCCAGTTCCTGGATCCTTGTTTATGCACACAGTATCTGGTGTAAAGCAATCAGTCTCAGCAGAGATGTGAGGCATCTACATCACACAGGGAAGTCACAACATTTTGAAAGATTGCAATCAAGCGATGCTATATTTTAGCACAGCTTTTCAGCCTCTGAACACAGCTTCTAAACCTGGGAATTTGCTTGATACATGGCAGCTTGCACTCATTCAAATCACCAGAGACCCTCCCTGCACATCTCCATGCTGCCAAACTGATACACTTCGTTCTCATATTAAAAACCATATTCCTATTTCTCACACACATCTCAAGCAAAGGACTGGAAGCACTGTAAGTGCCAGGCACCCTCAAACTCCCCACAATTTCCATGTGGACTAAATGTCACAGTGTTAAAAATATGAAAACATAAATAGTATTACAACAAACAAGATGGGATGGGGACTGCCCTAAAAAACAAGTGGTCAGCAACAAAAAAGATTGATGCTTCCCTCTCTCTTGCAGACATCCAATACCTAGAGCCCTCAACCCAAACTGGCAGCACAGCATCATGGTGATGAAAGGAGCCTGGGAGGACTCCCTTTCTGTGAGTCACACTGTCGTATCTTCTAGTGACCAAAAAACCTTGTCTCTGAAGCTACAGTGGCAATTTGGGCAGGAAGCTGGTCTCGGAGTTGCAGTAGCCATTTGTTTATATAATGCTTGTGATGAGTTTCAAGTATCTCAGGACAATTTGGCTTCCCAGTCCCAGATCAGGACTGCAGCCTGCCACTCTTGCTCCAAAAATGAGTGACCAAGCCTTGTGTCATCATAAGCATGCTGCAACCCACAGCATGAGCCCTGCTCACATGAGAGGGAAAAGGAGAAGGAAGACTGCTGACCAGGCACAGCCCCGGGCTGCTCACTGCTCCCACCTCTGATAACCTGACCCCCAGGCTCCAGCTGATCACAGCCTGTAGCCCCAAGAACCCCCAAGTTCAGCTCAACACAGCATAGAGGGCTCCCCACAACCCCGGCACACCCATGTGGCCACAGGCACGAGCCCTGCTGCACCCTACGGACTCTGCCTGCCCTGGCACGGGGCGGCACAGAGGTTGCACCTCCATCTCCTGTGCCCCTGAGCTTATTGAGTTTTCCTAACTAGAACCA